AAGCATTATTAGCTGGAGCTGAACTAATCTCCCTACTCTGCCTCTACCAGATGTAGCTACAGAGGTTTCTCTTCCTTGACTCGATCATTTGTCATTAAGAAGCAAATGGGAACTAAATTGGAGTTGTTTCATTCTTGGTAAATGCATCATTATCCTATAAGGGCAGCTTCGTATTTCAATGAATTTTCTTATGATTGCAATGCAGTACATGCTGTCGTCACATAAAACTCAAGCATGGGCAGTCTATTTCTAGCATGAGAGTGTTGCTTGAGACATCTTTACCCCTGAATTTTCATTTAATCCACGAAAGTGTGTGTGCATGAAAAATCCATAACTCGGTGAAAGAGTACAGGTGGCTTATTCGTTATTTACAGCGTTGTTTCACCAGGTCTGAGCCGCTCTGTTAGAATGGGATCTTCAGTTAGGGAGCTATTTTGTATCATGCTCCTAAAGAGCTAAGTGGCTCTTTAGAAGTACTTTCTTCTGGAAAGTTCATCCGTAGCCTCTCCCGTTCAGAGAAAGCAGTGATCTCTCAAGCCCTCACAAAAATTTCCTTTGTTTGGGTTGGAGTTCAGCCCTGGAGATCAGACTCATGATTTGGTAATATCCTGTGTAGCATGTGGGGGTGGAGGAAGCCGGAACTCCGCCACGCTGGAGTGGAGCCGGGAGCCGGGACATCCGGGGCCAGAACATGACCGGCTGGCATTTATATTGTTCTTTAGAGTGAAAATGTATTAATAGGCATTTTTATCAGTTAGTCCCCATTGTCGTCTGTGAAGTAAATGAGCATCTTTTAAACATGCTTTCAATTAACTTGGACAAATATTTATTAAACACAGGCAGTGGATTAGGTAGAGTCTCAGTAACTGGGGAAATGAAAAGAAATTGCACCTGGTAATCAAGAGTGGTCTTTTATTCCTTCCTTCCAGTTAAAATGAGCTAAAGGTAGTGTTTCCCTTTTGATAAAGGGCAACATCTCAAACATGTTCCACATCCCCTCATTCATCAGTTTTCATAGAATATTTTTCAGTAAGGTATTCCCTTTTGCCCTCTTGTAGCTATATCTCTTGCTTTCTTCCTGACCTTTCCTATAAGTGTTCAGAAACACAAAGAATGACCCCATAGTATGTATTAAAAAAAAAAAAAAAGGTTGAATATTTTGAATGACTATCCCATAGTTATCTAACATGGTTTCACACTGAAATCATCAGGGAAATAGATACACACACACAAATGTGTATTTGTATAAACACTTGGGCCACATTCCCAAAAAACATTGATTTAATTTCCCTGGAGGTGAGTCCTGGGCATTGGTATTTTTGTTAGCTCCCAAAGTGACTCCTGTATGGAGCTAAGGTTAGAAACCATAGTATCGCCTATGTTAAGCCAAACGAGCAAAACTAATTCATTTGACCTCATATCCCCCCTTTAGCTCTCTGTCTCTTAATTCTCTGTCCCAGCCAAGACAATGCCAGAGGCCAGGAAGTACTCTATCTGTGCCTTCACCTTCCTCTGACACGTCACTTAGTCAGGCAGGCTTTGGTCCTAGGTAGCTGCCCAAGGAAAACCATTACAGTGACAGCCATGTCCCTAGTCACACTGTGCATTTTCCAGCTCTCATCTGGCTCACACTCAGTAGCATTTGACATAGCTGAACTCGCTCTTTCCTGGCATATTTTCTTATCTAGCATTGAGCCATTACTTTATTTCCTTTTTCCTCTCTGATCCTTCTTTATGATCTCATTTTCCTATCTGACACTTCAATGCTTAAGTTGTTCACGCTCTCAACCCAGGATATTTGTTTCTACCTATAGCAGGCATTTTTGTGTGTTTCCATTTCTGTCAATAACATCTTTATGCTGTTGACCTCTTAATTTATCTTCTATTCTGAGCACCAGCCTCATATATCCAACTGCCACTTGACATTTTTACTTCGATGTCACACCGGCAGTTCTGACTCACATGTCTCAAACTGATTTTTTTTTTTTTTAATTTTCTTTCTCCCTTGCTGGAACCTCCCTTCTCTACTCTCTCCATTTCAATAAATCACACCTCGACCGCGTAGTAGCTTATGCTGAAAAACTCAGTAGTAACCCTTGTCTTTCTCTTCTTTCCACCCTACCCAACCTATCACCAAATCTTAATTCACCAAAATGTAATTCAAATCATCTCTTTGAACCCCCCCCCATTTTACTTCCAGCTGCTGTTTTATGAATTGTTATAATAGACCCGAACTTATCTCCCTGATTCATCCCTTCGGCCACTTCCCCTGGCCCCAATTCAAACAGAAATCAGCTCAAGTGCTATGAGTGATTTTTTTAAAGAGCTATAGCATATTACATGCCACTGGTTCCCTAAAACTTTCAATAAAGAATAAGGAATAGTTCTAATATTATAGGTTCTCATTTTCCTTTAAAGAAGGCAGGTTATTTTGTTATTATGGATTTATTTGTAATGTTAGTTGTTTTCCATCTCAGCTTAACAGAAAGCTAACTAAGGGTAGGGGCTGGGACTATATATGTTTTCATTGCTGTCTAACCTGTGTCTGACATAGAATTCCTTTTTTTTAAATGAGAGAACAAGCATGTGAATGGATAAGGAAGATTAACCAAAGCTTTAGATGGAAGGACTTGTCTCACCAAACTTCACTTAGTTCTACTGAGAACTCAGTCACTCCATTATGGACTAATTAAATACTAATGAGTAAATATACTAATTGAATGAATTGACTGAATTTTTTCATAAGGTTGTTGTATGTAATCACTTTAAATTCCAAAGAATTTTCAACAATTGAGTTCTTTCCCTGCTAGACAGACTACTAGAAATTGCTTATAAGATGGAATTTGTAAACAATTCACTGTTTGGTTCATATGTAGAGGACATAAGTAGACTTTGCTTTGAATTCTACATTTGCCATTTAAGTATGAAGTGACTCCAGCTAATGGTATTACTTCACCTAAGCCTCAGTTTCTTTATGTAGACAACCACAAATGGGAACAGAAGTCAGCATACATGAGATTACAATTTGACCATTCATCCATCAGCAACCAGAGCTGGCACATAGATGAAAATGTCTAAATATTATCTTATTTTCCCCCTCTTCCCTAATTTTACTTCTTGACTGATTTTATTTTCTTCTATCCCCCCCCCTTTTTTTTTTTGTACCCTGCCTTACTTGTCTTAGTGGGCACTGATGCTCTTATTACAGAGTTTGAATTTTGTGGAAAGAGAAGATTTAGCAGTACTTACAGAGCAGGTTTCCTTTTGGATTAGAAAGACAAACTTCACAGCTTCTCTACCCAGCTTTTCAAGAGCATTTTATGGTATACTGCTGTGTTACAAGTTCATTTTAGGACAGCATGCTGGGCAGGAAAAAAAGAAGAAGGGATTCGAGGGGAGAAAATTAAAAAGTTAATTAAAAGAAACAACTTAGTAATTGAATTCCCTTATACTCTTCTTTGTTTATTGGGGCAGGGGGCACCTCAGTGCAAGATTCACAGTTTGTTTCACTGATCACCTCCAAACTCTAAGTGAGGCAAGTATGAAAGCACAGAGTAAATCCCTGCTTGGCAGATGAGAACAGGGCTAGGGGACAGAGGGTAGGTTTTGTGCATGTGTCAAACCAAACTGTCTTCAAACTCATTCTTGAGCATTTTTGTTTGGAAATAACTCTTGGGAACTGACATTGTTATTGTCAGTTATGTATCTATAGGCTACGTTCTGGACTAATATCAACTAGTTTATGGGCATGCAAACACCACTCTTCATTGATTCTGTTTTACTAGCTATTTCTTTAATCTTACCATCTAAGTGCACACTGCCATTGGTACACAATCAGAGAACCAGTTAACTGCACCCATTTCAAATTCTACTCAGTAGCAAGTAGAATGCATGAGGTCTTTTTTAACTTTTATTTATTTTATTGTGTGTGCAATTTGTTTCTTACTTTTAAAAGAATCTTGACAATCATTTCAATCTCTGTTATTTCAGATCACTGAAGTGTCTAGTTTATTAAGATGTTATCCTGGAGGGAGAGGCTGTTCTGTAGGGAATAAGCATGTGTATAGAAATGAACGAGAGCTAGGTTGAAACCCTGGCTCTCATCCACAATCCTTATTTATTTGTTCATTTCCCATTTATGTGCTGAAGACCTTTTCTGGGCCAGGCACTGTTGAGAGGTTACCTTAGGTAAATTCTGTCACAACTTTTATTGATGAGATTTTGCTGAGGTCCTGAAAATTAACTTTTAGAGTTTTCTCATTGTTTTCAGCATTCCATATTCCTCTTTCTTTTGGAAAATCCACTGAAGAAACAACTTAGTAAAACAATTGATAACTGCATTATTTTTTATTACAGTTGTATTTGGTTTATATATATATATATATATATATAAACACACATGTGTGTTTTACATATGTGTGTGTGTGTGTGTGTTTTAGAGTTGTAGGTTCCTGCCTTTTCAGATGTATGAGGAAGGTAACTTTTACCTTCCTCATTAAATTAATATTGAGTAAGTAAATTAATATTAAGTAAGTGACTGATTGCATATCCTATCTGGAAAGTAATCTCTAGAAAATGAAAGTTAATACTGTATGGTTCAATAGATTGCATTATCTTTCCTCACATGTTAAGAACATAGATTTAGGTTCTTATTTTTTTGTTTATTTCTTGGATATAAAAATTCATTACTTCAGTTGATGTATATAGTGTGTTAAACTGATGCTACTTTGATTATATAACAATTAAAAATTATTTTACCAAGTCCTTTACTACAACAATGGATTTGCTGCAGGAATGAGGAACATAGACTGCTCAAAATAACAAAATCATTCCTAAAGTTAATTTTCAAAACCTCAGTAAAATCTCATCAATAAAATTCCTGACATCACCATTGATTTCAACCTGGGTCATGAATGCAAGTGTAACGCCAACCCACCCTCCATGTATGATAGAGACTCAGCTATTTACGAGAACTAACAAGGGATTCTATATTTTCACAGGTTATGGTTTTGTAGATTTTGACAGTCCTGCAGCTGCACAGAAAGCTGTAGCATCTCTCAAGGCAAATGGTGTCCAGGCACAGATGGCCAAGGTAAGAATGGTGTTTAAACTTTTTTTTCTTTGGTGATCATGTATTCCTCCTTTGCTGTGAGTTGAATCAGAATCAGAATTTACAACCACTTGGCTTTTATTTGCATTTTAGGGAATATAAGAAGGAGTAGATTTGTCTCTAGAGAGCCTGGCCAGTTTATGCCATTGTTTCTTTGTGTATATTTATCTCTATGCTCTTTTGCTATGACAATCTCATTCATGATAAGTTGGCTCTTGCGAAGTGTTCTGTTTTGCATGAGAAAGCATTTTACATGTGCCTGTGTGGTGTGTATCTAGGCTTTTCACTGGTAAATTGTTTTGGAGTATTACAATTTTAGCAAGTTGTCTTTGATACAGTGTGTGCTGAAACCTTTCTCATTCTCATTTTGGAGAAGCTGATCATTGAGTAATGAGGTTGTCTGATTTTTGCAGAAAAATTTGTTTAGCTAAAGTGTATCTTATCTACATTATGAAGAATGCCCCACTGACTTTTAGAAATAGGTTTCACCTAAACAAGTATTTACACAAGTATTTATAATTTTAATTACTAATTGCTATATATGTAATAATATGGAATCTTCTGTCTGAAGTTATCTAATGTACATTTATATTAAAAATAAATAATTACAATAGTTTTCTAGTTGCAGTAGTAGTAATAAGAATCTACATATGTAATTAAAATTTCCAGAGATTCTATGCACATATTGTAGCAATGTCAGTTTCTTTGGGGGAGAAGGGTTAGTTATTTTCATGAGAAAACAGGTAATTTTTTTCTGATTACTGTGAATTTGTGTCATGATTCTCAATAGTTAGGTGGGACAACCAACAGATATTGAAATTCTGGTCTATGAATTCAGGTCATGTTTTTGTGTACACTTACTGTAGTTATTGCTGTAAGAGGTGATCAATTAAACAACAAAGTTATCAAATTTTTGGCCATTTGCTTTTTGTTCTGATTGCTAGCATTCTTTGACTATGCTGTCCAAGTTCAAGTTTAAAAACTAGAGGTGAGATATTTTGTTTTCTTCATCTTAGTGTCTTCCAGTGAGCTGATACCACTCATAATTGCTAACCTTTTGTTTTGGGTCACTTTCCATATAGATTACTTTGGGCCATTCATTGTCCTTTATGACACATTAATTGTTTTTCAAGGCAATATAAATTTGAATTTGAATTTTTTAGTTGTGTAATGTATTCCTCATCAGGATTGTGCCTGGAAGCTTTGTATTTGGTCATGAACTAAGATTGACAAAGTTAATATTTGTAATTAATAAGGAAATGACACACATGTCTTGGCTTAAAGGTTACTTGGCTAAGAGTCAATGTCAGCTGAGGTATTGACTTCTGATGCTCAAGAAATAAATTATACAATATAGTCGTTAAATGCACAAAGTTAAACATTTGAATTTGGGATGAGAGACAATGCTTATGGACAAGAGAATGATTATAAAAATGCTTAAGAAAAATAAAAATGTTCTTGGAATGTCTTTGATTGACTCCACAGGTAAACTACCTAATTCAGAAAATCACTAGATTACAGCAGTTTAGAAATAATAAGAACAGTGTGAATAATCTCCAGTGTTTCAAATGATCTCAAAATATGTATAGTCCACTGCCATCTTGCACAACAGGCAAAGAAAGTTGGCGGTAATTTTATCTCTACTGAGGTCCCATTATGAATATTTTTACCTCTATTTCTGAGCATTCTGCTATGCAAGGAATCCTTCCAAGTCTTCTTCACTCTTAGTCTTCTTACACATGCACACACATATGCACACTTTAACCTCAATCAATTATCTTACCTAGATGGGAGGCTAAAAAATGAAAAGTATTTTACAGAGTTTATAAGAGACAATTCATTGTAGCCAGCATTTGGTCCCTTCTACCATGTTCAATATACATCGTAAAGACATTCTATTTGGAATGTCTAAAGGACGTTATTTTTATTTCTGGAGTTGTTTCAAGATTTCTACCATTTTCATTATGCTGTCAATGGCATAAATTCTGATTCTCCCTTCTCACACACTTTGAATTTAGAGCCCAGAGTTTTAGATCCACATCTGCCTACTGGAAAGCTTTCAGCAGTAAATGACTCTGTAATTTAACTACCCAGAAGCAAATAAATAGCCTCCCTTTGACAATGAAATGGAACAAGCTTGACCACCTGTATTAGCAGATTTCTCACTGAGCTATTGGATTTCATGACATTTTTTCCTTTGTCCTGGTGATAACTATTATTTATTATCATATAAACTTGCAGTCTGCAGGATGCGTGCAGCTTGTACTATATTTTTTGCCATTTAAGTATCTACTGAATTGCCTTTTGTATTCTTGTCCTTATCAATATCCCACTATGCAGGTTGTGGCACCACATTTTAATGACTCCAGGGCTTGAAAGCAAAATACTACAAGTAATCTAGGTTCTCATAGCACCCTGGAGATAGTATAGAGCTCTCCAACTAAATCCTTTTATTTAGCTAACTTATTCTGTTTACATGTGAAAAAAATTGTAAAGAGATAATTAAATAATAAATCATACAGCAAGTACTAATTGATTAATAATGTATAGTCATTAACACAGAGTAAAAACTTATGCACATTTTCTTTTCAGCCAAACAAGGTTTTTAGGGATCCAAGTATATGGTTCTTTCAGGAGAACAGAATTAGAATATTTTAGTAATGCAGAGTATTTAAGAGCATAGGTTTAGGGGAGATAAGCTTAGCCTTAAATCCCATCTCTAGCACTTCTTGGCTATGTGATTTGGCTAAATTATTTAAATAGCTTCAAAGAATCAATGATAGGTTATAGAACTATGGTGAGAATTAACTTAAACATACACAGAGACTTTAGCATGTTTAGCTTATAATGCCAATATTTGATAATTAGTCAATAAATGTTACATATTAAATGCATCTATTAATGAATTTACCATAAATTCAAAGAATGTATGCTTTTGTTATCACTGAATTTTCTTAAAACATGTAGTAACAGATATCAATTAAAATATCTTTTACTGACTACTAAGTGACAGATATTTTGCTAGGTATTGGAGAATGAAGATTGAATAAAATTTCTTCTTTGTTCTGAATTTTTAACATTGTCTATCTCCCAAGATTGCTATAAAACACGATGAAGGATATTGGCTATTATTCTTCTTGCCAACCTCAATGTTTTTTGAAGAAAAAAGTCATTGTTCAAAGAATATGTCTCGTAAACATAGAAAATGAAAGATGGTTGAACTAGTTGGGGCACATCCATGCCATGGAATATTAATCAGCAATAAATATGGACAAACTAGTAATAAAAAAGCCTGGATAGTTCTCCAGAATGAGTGAAAAAAAGAAAAATACAAAATGTTGCATATGGTTTGACTTAATTTTTATAACTTTTTCAAGATGCTAAACCTGTAGAAATGAGTTATGGTTATCAGGGACTAGTGGCTGATTATAAGGGAAAACAAATGTGGTTGTAGAAGGATAACATTTCATTGAAACTTTTCTGTATCTTCACTGTGCTGGTGGTCACACAACTCTACACCTTCATAAAGTCATATAGAATTAAATTAAATAAACAGCCCTCCTCACATATATTCCACTAAGTAATTCATGTAAAACTGCTGAAATCTAAATAAAGGTAAACAATTTGATTAGTCTTAATTTCCTCATTTTGATGTTGTGATTGAGGAAGACCTGGTGAAGAATATACAGGTTCTCTACTCTTCAAACTGAATGTTAATTTATAATCATCACAAAAATTAAAGGTTTTTCAATCAGATTTAAAGAAAAAATCCAAGGAAACCTATCCAAGAGTAATGTAACATTTTTAGTTGTTTTACTCATTGATAAGAAGAACATTGCTAGTAGAAGGCAGTTGTTTAAGCTGACAGTAGAGATTAGGACAGTTTTGTCTTTCTTTGGGGGTCACATTTTCCCATACACTGACTTGCTAGTTTCTAAAACCCTGACAGCTGCATCCACATTTTAGCCAGAATAAAGGGACAGGAGAAAGTCAACAGGATCATTATAGCTGATTCTGTCCTTCTAAAAGCTTTTCCAGAATGTCTTAAAAACTTAGAAACTTGCGTTTATATTACAATGCCCAAAACTGACTCATCTGATTTCCTGCTTAGCTGCAAGGGAGTCTGGGATGATGACTATTTTAGCTCTTTTGACACTAGTAGGGAAGTGGGAAGTAATTCTCTCTTACTATTAATGCATTTGGGGTGGCATGCATGTATTCCTTCCCCAAGGGCATCTGCCTCAATATCATCCTTTAATCACAATTTATAATGTTGCCATTCCCAACAGGCCCAGATATGATTGTGCCTCATAGTTTGGAAACCCATAATTTAAAAAGACAACTTGTCTGAATTGTCACAAGATAAAACTAATAAAATAGCAGGATTTGTGAAAGTAAAGGAAGAGTGTGATTTACAAACTGAGGGAATGGGACATAAGCAGAAATCAATTATTGCCAATGAATAGTTTATGTTTGTCATCCAGACAAATCTCCTTGCTCTTCATTTCCTACGGTCTTCTTCAAGCAACCCTGGAGGCCTGCAAAGCTTTAGAAATTGAGGTTTTCTGGATATAAATTGAGAGGTTCTAGGAGTACTCAATAAATTGAACAGACACTATTTTTACCGGTCATCTCATTAATTATTTCTAATTTTCTTTGGCCATTTCAGACATGAATAAACACAAAACATCTCTTTTTAGATGAGAAGGCTGTAGGGGAGTCACTGCCCTGCAGTGTATTTAGATAAAGCTTTGTCAAGTTTACTATGAGGGCTGCCATTCCAATTACTGAAGGTGATTCACCCCACTGTGGAATATGTAAATTAAATCAACACTGACTGATCAGAAAAGCGGCCAACTGTTTGAGAGGATGTTAAGCACATCTGACATAACAAAAATATTAGGTCAAATTTGGGGATAATATAAAAAGAGCCATTACTTATAATGCAGTATCAGATTGGGACAAGAAGAAATTAATTTTCT